AATACGACCGCTAGATTGTATAAAGTAATCGAAATGAAGTAATTTAGTTATTAAATTAACCTGAAAAGACAAAAGAAATTGAGACAACTGTGATATTATGTGTTTAATAGACTTATTAGGTGATGCCATGGTAACGTTTATGGGTAAACATCAGGCGTGTCTGCTCCAGGTTAGGTCTAATAAATGTATAAAATTTATACACTTGAAATTTTCTATCTACAAAACCTTCAACATTATTTCAATCGTAACATACCAAATATTTTACATGATTCGGGCAACTCGAATATGGAACCGATCTCGTTGTCGTTGATTAACTTAATTTGAATGCGGATAGTCTTTCGTCATTTAAGTCGGCAATGTTTAAGTACTATATGCCCTCTTTGTACTCGTGTTACAATGTTGAGGATCCTCGTAGTTATAAAACTATATGTCCTAAGTGTTATTCTGTTTGCACTGTCAAAACATTGTTATTGTGCTGTATGTATAGGAACTGTTGGTACTGTATGTTCTTCGTTGTTCAATATATACATATGTGTATTGTTGTAATTTATTTATTCGGGCCCGCAGTAATTGACAATTCAGACGCTGTTGCGGATTCCCTGCCACTGTGTAATATGCACAAAGCGAATTAAATAAATAAACTAATCAGGTGAAATGCCCCAAAACTCCTGATATATTACGCAATTGCAACCGTATATGCACGACGCTTTTTGCATAAAAGCTATTTATTTGATAAATTGCATTTATAAATTATTCTGCAAAGTACATCTTGCTTCAAAGTAAGTAAGTGCAATAAGGCCATCTTATGTACATGCAACAGTAGTGTTCAGTTGATAAAGTTGATACACAAAGATATCTGTACATGTGGCCTTTATTTGACCCGATTTGATAGGCTGTGTTTCATTATTTATGAATCTGATGATAGCTCAAAATCGCAAGTAAGAATGAGGAGTGCGACTACATGTCGAATAAGATTCGTCAAAATGCACGATGATATATAGTATACCATGAAATTATTGGGAAGGCCAATAAACTCGTGGAAAAAACTCCTCACGTGGCTTTTCGTTCAAACATCGTTTTGCTATACACATACAATATTGCTATAGAAAAACCCGTTTTCTCAAGACATAAAGATTCCAGATTCATGCAGGAATCCAAATGCAAGGTTTATGCTCGTTATTGGTTGACAATCTAAATTTTTTCCAGAAGAAATAGAAGAAACAGAGTCAGAAGAGTCAGAAAAGGAAGAAGAGACAGAGAGAGAAGAGACGAAAGAGACAACAGATCTAACGAAAGAATATCTGGCTGATGCAAGGGCATATATTAACAAAAATGGTGTCTCTGGCATTGGAGAGTTTCTTAAAAAGAAACTTAATGAATGGAAAAACGTTAAAATAAGATTTGGTATAACAGGCGATAGTGGCACAGGAAAATCAACCTTTATCAATGCAATAAGAGGGTAATATTTTAATGCTTTACCTTTCCAAAAAAATTGGACTGTACCTTAGTTTTCATCCATACCCATATATTAGCTTTTACTAAAAAGAATAGAAATAGAAAAGAAAGAAAGTCAGAACGAAATAGTATAACGGCTGACATTTGCAAAATATTGGCGGGCTGAGTTAAGTAATAATGATGGGCTGAGTTAAGTTTCTAGAACATTACCACCCTTATGTTGCAACTCATATTTTTGCATTCACATTCATGCGAATTTACTTATAATTTATAGCCTACCAGTGTTACTATGGTTGTAAAATTACTGTTACAGAATTTTTGCACAATTATTCAGTTATATCATTCAAGGGCTTGATTGTCCTATGGGAGCATGATTGTCCCCTTGTGTGCTCTACTAAGACGAAAGGAAGCAAGAATGAAAGGAAGGAAGAAGATGGGTATAGATAAAGGCAAGATAAATAACTTGATAAATAATTTTACGCATAGTTTTCTTGTGTAGACTTAAAGATAACGAAAAACATGCAGCAAAAGTAGACGTTATTGAAGCAACGAGAGAGCCAGCAGAATACACATATCCTGACAACCCAATGATTACTCTCGTCGACCTACCCGGTATCGGTACGCCAAACTATCCTGATCTTCGAACCTACTGTGCAAAGGTTCCCTTAGAGAAGTACGACACCTTCCTCATTTTCACTGCTACTCGCTTTACACAAAACGACTTGGTATTGGCAAAGAAAGTGAAAGACATTGGCAAGTCGTTTTTTCTTATTCGTACAAAGATTGATAACGACCTCCGGCCTTTACCAGGAAAAACCACTATTGACGAAGACACAACATTGTCAAGAATCAGAAACAAATGCAAGGATCAGGTGAAAGGCTTGATGTCCAGTGAGAAAGAAATTTTCCTCATTGGCAATTATGAAAAGGAAAAATGGGACTTCGATCGTCTGGTTAAAGCAATCGGCAAAGCATTGCCCGTTCTTCAGAGAGAGGTTTTAATACTGTCTGTATCAAATTTAACGCGTGGGTGTTTAAATAGAAAGGCAATGTTTCTTAAAGGTTAGTGCCGTTTAATACGTACTATTTACAACATGAGCGGCCGTGTTATATCGGATATACAAACTCGAGAGTTTGTATATCCGATACAACACGCACGCGAATGTTATAAATGACTTAAAAAACGACTCATCTTATGAGTCTTTTTTGGCTCATCCTATTAGTCATCATGAGGAATGGATAATGTCACATAGTAATGCCAACATATACAGATAGCTTGTAATAATATACCGGGTGGCCCAAAAAAAAGTACTCCGGTTTGATTTGTAATAACTTCTAAACAAGTAAAGCTATCAAACAGAAGTAACTTGCATTAAATAGAGGAAGGACTAACTTAGATTTTGATATATTACAGTTGCATTTTACTTAAAAATTCACGGAGATATCAATGTTCAAAATCGGGAGCATATTTTGGGATGTGTCTAAAATTAGCGAAAATCGGCGTATCAAATTTTAACTCCAGCGTTTGTTTGGTTAATGACATATCAGGGTAACTTGTATTTCAGCGAATTGTCGTTAGGGTTTGTAAGGGATATGGCGTAGATTTAGACATCTTACATGTAAGTCTTAACTCATTGTTTCCTGAAATATGGACGTTCGAAATTATGTAAGTATTTAATAGGTCTTTGCAAACTTAAGGTACATGAAAGACCATGCAAGGCAGGCGCTTCAATTTTTCTTAAATAACCTATTTTTTATGTTTTTCATGGGTTCAAAACAAAGTTGATTATTTCTCGGTTAGAGCAGGATGAATATTGTTCTTTAATGGAGGAAATAATATTGCTTTTTGCAAATACACATCACAGTATCAAAGATACTATTTTGTTACGTTTTGTTCCAAAAATGTTGGATGTCTCTGGGGAGTTGCTTGTTATGTCTTTACTTATGGAGTTGTATGGTTTGATTGTGTTTCATTCTCAGTTTATTCTGAACTTGCCAAGATTAAGAAAGGCAAAAGAGTTTGGGTGTTCTTAACAAGATTTCAGAACGTTGCAGAAGTTACAAAATTCATTCAATGTGAAGTGAGAAAATTCACAATTCCAATGTGACAGCGTGCCCTAATTCAGAACTACGAACGATCCATGACGATACTTCGCGATGCAGTGGTCTCATGAAATAAGGAAACGTATTCGTGCTAGGAACACACGCGGATTTCGGACGCATAAATCTTGCTTGTATTTTGTAGATAATAATACTTTGTTTCATAATAAACAATTTGTCAAGTGTCATTTATTTACAGGTAATAGTGCATGTTTCAGTCGGGTAAATCTTGATTAATATTTGATACGCTGTTTTTGGCATATTTCAGACACATCAAGAAATATGCTCCCGATTTTAAACATTAATATCTCCGTGAATTTTTAAGTGAAATACAACTGTAATATATCAAAATCTAAGTTAGTCCTTCCTCTATTTGATGCAAGTTATTTCTCTTTAAAAGCTTTACTTGTTTAGAAGTTATTTCGAATCAAACCGGAGTACTTTTTTTTGGGCCACCCGGTAGTAACACTGGTCAGTGTTACTATTCAAGGAAGCACTCGCCATTCACGGGCAGAAACCAGAACTCAGAATCAGAAATCAAAGCGTCCCGGGAACTATAGGTTTTTTACTAATAAATATCAAATTACAAACTATCTGTATATATTGGCATTACTGTGTAACGTTATCCATTCCTGATGATGACTAAATAATTAAGTCGAAACGTTGAATAAAAAATGTTGTCTTTCATTCGGAGTTACTGTTGTTGTGTATTTCATGAAAATGCTCAGTGGTTCCCACAATTATTGAAGATGATTAAATAGTATAATTGCTGCCTTAGCTCAGTAGAGGCAACACACTATTCTTGACGTGCAATGGTTTCTCTAGAGGCCACTCGACCCAGTCTTTCTGTATATCGTCGAGATCTTAATCTTATGTCTGTTAAGATGTCGTGATTAAGTTACATAGACAAGCAAGGTTTTGTGTTGCTAACGCATCTTTCGATGTCTTCCGTTAAACATTTCAATTTGTAAACGTAATAACAAGCACTCCAATAAGAAATTCTAATTAACAAATGTAATAGACGGGGAAATATAGACGAAAATTGTACGGCGCGCGTGTTATGTTTCCATTCAGTTGCGTATGCGTCATCTAAATATCGACGTGGTCGCTCTGCACTATAAGTTGTATCATTTCACGAGTAATTGGTACATGAATAATGTATCTGTTTATTTTTTTAAATTCTTGTACTCAAGGCCAGGAGCGTATTAATGCGTATTAATTAAATGTTTCCACATTGGACTCCAAATTCCGTATTTCGATTCAAATGTTTCCATATTGCAACTCGAACAAGCGAATTCATGATCATATACTAAACGGTACTTAAATTAAACCGTCGGGTACTACTGTTGTATTTTTTTAATAATATATAGAGAATGGTCTATATATTATGATGCTAATAACTTTATTATTTCTATTTATTAATATAGCATGATGCTTAGGCTATAATAACTTTATTATTTCTTAACAAATTAATATAGTTCGAGCTGTTGCAGTGGCAACCATTTCAGCGCGCAACGGTGTAATTCCTATTCCTGGAAGAGGAGCTGTTCTTGACGCCGAACTTATTAGAGATACAATCGAGGACTACCACAGACAATTAGGCCTCCACGATGTAACGTCCGATACGTTTGAGGAATTTAATAAATACGAGAAGGTTCTTCAAATCTACAAGTTTCAATCAGATGAGGAGTTGCTTTTGTCTCTCAACTCCGAATCGCATGGATTACGCAAGGTCCAAGAAGTTTCCAAGTATATTCCAATATTAGGAACAATAATCGCAGGCAGAATATCATTTGTTTTGATGTCGCGTTACCTCGAACGCTGTGTGGACGAACTGGAAGTAGTGGCCTTGGCTGTCTGGGACGACGCTGCGAAACGATCAACTGAGAATGATTCAGAGACAAGCACAAATAATTCACATACACATTGATATGAATAAACGGGTGGGAACTTCCTCCAATATTTGAAGAAATTATCTCATTATGGAAGAAATTATTCAGAGTTTATTTTAAAGAGTCATTGTTAACCATAATGCATTGAGCGCCCTAACATGCTTGGCGCCCATTTTAATGGCGGAATAATAGATGTTTCGGTTTTCAATCCATAATATATTACTACCATACTGTGTTTATAATTGCTAATTTTAACTTTTTTATGCTAAAATTGCACCAAAGAAATGTTTATAATCTTCATTTGTTGCTATTTCACACTTTCAAAGGTAAACATGTAAACAAAATTAATGCATTGTGGTTGACAATGACTCTTTAACACTGCGAATGAAAAAGTCATCTGCATGTACATAATTATACTATGTTTTTGTTTACCGTCCATATATAACCTACTGTATTCCACATAATAGTGCAGCCATATTGGATGTCGGGAATAAACTGCACAAGTCCATCAATTATTTTATACCGACGTTTTAGAGTCCTAGTTCCAGATGTATAATAGGGCTAAAATACAACTGAAAACATTACCAGGAAGTTCAATATATTTCATAAATCGAGGGTTCAGTATTTTGAACTCTCTCCATGTATTTTGCACTAGTTTTAGTCCTGAAATAAACGTTAGCGTTCGAATTTTCTTAATGAACTGGTTATTTATTTTGGCAAATAACAAGCGAAGGGAACTGAACACCAGTTTGTTTATATATAGTTTGGCCCTGTAGAAACTGTACGACCTTCCCATGAGGCACGAAGGCCATCGGAGCATGCAGGCAGATAGTGCACTTGTCCTGCGCTGGTAAATTTTATTATTTTACTGGTTCAATTCCCATGCAGGCTGAGCAGCTTTTTATATTGCCGAAATTATGATTCAAATGAAATGATATATAGTAAATAGAAAGCATGGTATGGATACTCGATAAACCTCATCATCTATTTTACTATTCTACAGGTTTATGCCAAAATATTGCAGTATTTTTCGCTCAATAAGAACAAGAATCTTTACAGTGGGTGATTCCAGCTATAGACTATTTTGATCAAAGCAAGAAGAACGAAGTCCAACACCACAGCTAGAAAGAGCGTCTTAGAATAAAACTGCAAAGTTTGGTTGCTAAATGTTGTAAAATGAAGAAAATATAGCCCTGTGAAGTTCGCAAATTTTGGATATATTTGTATTACGCGCGGTAAAAATAACCACTTTCGGCTCAATAATTTTTACTTTAGCTACGTCAATGTTCGCTTCCTGCCAGAGAGCCTATAAGTGCATTTTTCGCAACTGTATAACAGGTATAAAATTTACACTCGATATTTCCAACTACAAAATCCTTCACTAATTAAACGTTTTTACTGTATGGATTTTATTAGGAAGTAGTTAATCATTTTTAAAGTGACATTACTAATAATAATAAAATTTTAATTTGTGTTTGTATATATGTACGTATGTTTATGGGTGTATATATATATTGTTTGTAGTATATAAATGATTTGTAATTACCTGCTGAAAAGCCCTTTTGGGAGCAGGTAATATTGTAATAATAATAATAATAATGCTGCAGTTGCTCGCATCACCGCATCTAGGCAATGCATGTAAGCTATTGAAATGTCTTATACTTATATTTTAACTTGCAGTAAGACATGAGCCTGAAAAACACGATAGATGGTATAAGATAATTATGGTATATAATTGTGTGTTGAAATTACGACCACTATTAATTAATTTTTCCAGGAAGTATTAGCATAAGAAAAGATTCGAAACTAAACCAAACAGGGTATCAAGTTGTGCCTATCGTGTACTGTATATGCTATTTATTATCATATAACTTTAAAATCGAAGATTTGTGCGAATGAAGTTTTTTATTAGATATATATGGGACAGTCGCAAACGGAACAGGTCAAACAACCAACACGAAAAAAATGGGGAAATACGCTTTGCCGTTGTAGGAAACAGTGGCGTTGGGAAATCGTCTTTTATTAACGCCATCAGAGAGTAAGAACTCTTTATATTTTAGTCAAAGGAATTCAGTGCATTTCAAGACATGTGTCAGACATATTTGTAGTTCACTTGGAGAACGGCCGCTCATGTTGTAAACATTACATATACACACATATACATATACATATATACATACATATACATATACACACATACATATACATATATATATGCATACATACATATACATATACATACATACATATACATACATACATACATACATACATACATACATACATACATACATACATACATACATACATACATACATACATACATACATACATACATACATACATACATACATACAT